TGAGAGAGCACAAAGCCAAACTCTGAAGGTGGACCTATGGATGAAAACCAAACTAAGGGAGGAATTGGATAGACTCAAGGTTTGAGCCCCTCGCCCTCTCATCCTGCAGTTTGGGAAGGCGAAGTGACACATCCATGAGTACGGCTGAGGGACCTCCTTGTTGTACAACTGGAAGGGATTCCACTTCAGGTAGTCGCCCAGTTCTTCTGTTATGGCGAGTGATGAACTGCTTTTAGAGGCTTGCAAAATTCTGCAACACTCTTTGCTGAACTCAAAGGCACGGTCCGCGATCAGGTATCGAAGTTGAAAATATGGCGTCAGGAGGTTTAGAGTGGTCCGCGACGAACAACCTTGTACCGGTTTCGCGGCAAAAAATTCTATGGGAGGGGCGCTGTAGCGCAATATAGGTTCAGTGGCTCCTCTTTTTTCCAGTGACTCCGCCTCCAGACTCCGCCTCTAATGACCGGCTTCCAGTGAAAAATGAGATTGCAGAACGAAAAAGCATGATAATCGTCACTTGTACGATAGTAGAAATCTTATCGGTGAATCAGCTGTGCATATGAGGGCGTAGTTTTGGAGATAGAGTTGATTGGGCACGTACAAACTGGGATCGAAATGGGGTTCTATCTAGGGCAGGTGGCATGTTTTTTGTGCTTTTTTTGTTTACAGTCGAGTTGCTTCAACCCCTCTGTCGCTTCTATATGGAACACTAATCCACCATCTGAGATGAGATAATCACGGGCTTCTGCCTTTAAGAGCTGAGGGGTTCTCCGAAAATTCTTGTGAACTCGTATGATGCATACCATAGAATAATTGGACTACGCCTGCAGTTTAAGGCGGTTGAAATATTTTTACGCGCGGCATCCGCTCCGGAAATTGCAGATGATACCCAGGCCAGCGGCTTCACCCGCTGAGGGATTACATCTTGATGATTGCTGTTGCAGAGGCAACGTCACGGTTTGGAGATCTCAGGCAGAGGCGGTCATATACAGACGCTAACGGGGAAGAGGGCCGCACTTGCTATAAGCGGACCCTTTTCCTCTGGCGAGCAGCAGTCGGGAAAAAGTGTGTAGTTCTCGATGGAAAAAAAATCGAAGAAGTGATTAGGAGCAGTGAGAGAATATAGGAAGACGTAAGAAAGATGGGGATGTTGTTAAAACGGGCGAGGTGGCGCGATCGTGCAAAGAGCGATGGAACTTTGAGGAAGAGGGTCTTCCCTCGGCGCAGACGCCTCCTTGGTTCGCGTGCCAAGCAGCCAGCAGCTGTTAGGAACGCGTTGTTGTGAATGATGTCTGTTCAAGTTTGATGTGAAAGGTGCATTCCTCATGCTGCATGTTACCTGCAGCCGCTTGGTGACCGCCCGCTCTGCTAACATTTATTGCAGACAATACTTGATTAGTCAGTGTAGTTATACTCCTGGATATGGGAGGGGCCGTGGTATTCGCATCATTTGATTTGTCGTAGGATGGCGTTTTTTCACATGACATTCCATTTAAAACAACTGTCACCCTGTCTTCTGCTGACCAAAGACGTGATTACAAAGGTCTCTCAACTGCAATATTCCTCCAAAAACGCAGCCGCCGTCATGTTGAAATGAAGTACACAGTTAGGCCTCCCCTCAGTTAGGGCATGGCGGCGAGGCGCAGTTCGGCGCAGGACGGGGGGGGGGGGGCTGTATGCAGTTTTGCTATTATTATGGACGTGTCGAGCCATTAGAGACCATTTGATGAGCTTGTACAAGGTTGACGAGTCTTACCATGATGGCTTGACTAGCTTGCTCCAGCTTCACAAAAGTTCACAGGTTTCACCAGAGTGAGACTTGTGAACTGGAACTAGTGCAGCAAGGAATGTGCAAAAGCTTCCCCCCCCCCTCGTAGCCGAACTGCATATCACGATTTATGTGACCTCTTCATATTTTAATGTGTTTATTTTCAGTCGGATGCCGAGAAATTGGGCCGCGTGTTGACAGCCGCATTGAAGGCGTCGGCAGATTTGGCACAGTCAACTGGTTGACGCATATAACGGGACTGGCTCGTCGCATGTAATGCCGTAACAGAAGACAGCAGTCGTCAAATGGAACACAACGCAACACATAGGTGGTGGCTGTGGTGGCGCGCCATTTGTGTCGTGTTGATCCGTTAAATAGAACGGAGGCGGCACTGTCTAAGCTTGCGTTTGCGGAGGCTGCTCCGATGATGCCTCCGTCGTCGTGAGCTATCCACTACCCGGTGTGGAGCGCGTGCGATCCTGCCCCGCCCCTGCTCTCACTCACCTACACTCACACAGACACGCACACTTGCTGCAATGGCGTGGTTACGCTTAGCCGCCGCCGCCTTACTAACGCTTGCCTCCTGTGGTGTGAATGCTCAACATGGCACAGTAGGTCGTCCATGTGAGGTATCCACTGATTGCGGAACTGGTAACTATTGTGCTGGCAACAAGCGATGCGCCTGCCTCACCACATACGTTGAGATTGACTCGTACTGTTGGCGAAGTAAGTGTGCTTCTCTCTTACATTACCATTATATCATACCATCATCGTGGGTTGCATATGTTTAGCAGGTTTCCAATTAGTTTTTATCTCCTTGTTCTACTACATACTACTAGATTTAAATATAATGATGGTGTAATTTTCACGGCGTATACATGATTTGGGGCAGTTTGGCGACGGGGGGGGGCGGGGGATTTTCGCCCTTCTGCTACTTCCCATTGACGTGTAGGACGTATGTAGAGGCTTACAAGAAGTTGACAGGTTTCACAGGGTGGCTCGACGAGCTTGCTTCAACTTGCGCAGGAGTTCACACGTTTCACCAAAGTAAGACCTGTAAACCGGAACTAGTGAAGCAGCAAAAGTGCAAAATCCTGCCACCCCCCCCCCGTCGCTGGACTGCGTCCATGATTTTTTTCCTTCTCTCTTCCTTTTCACCTGATAATATGTGTTTAGCATTGTTTCTGAGTATTATCGTTTGCTATTACGCGCGACGTCCCATTTGCTGTTGTATGTTCCCGTCTTCTGGGTCTGGCAGACCTATTCCCGTTACTCGTTCGTTAATTACCAGTTGTTTTTTGCTAGATATTCCAGAAAAAGAGTCCTACTACCCGGTCCCGGCTTTCACATACACTCATTGTCATTATACTGGCCTCAGATAAGTCCATTGTGGCCCCCGCGGCAGAAAATTGTAGCTTGAGCTAGAAGCGCGACAATCATGTTCGCTTTCAATTTCACACAACGCCTAACGTCCTCTCAAGCGAGTAAAGAGGTGTTGTTTAGGAAATTTATCCGCTTAGAGAAAAAAGCGACCAATAGCGGCCATAGATGCCCCGCCCACCTAGAAGTGTCTTTGTAACGTCTGATTGGTCGACTTTTTCCGATAGTACAGTACTAGTGTTGTCCTTTTCGGAAACACGGGTAAATTCCTAAGATCTGCAACCATATAAGACGATTCGGCGTTTCAGTGCAATCGTTGCGTTGTGCATGTTGTGTGTAGGAATTTGTCTCGTGAAAAGTGCTCTAGAAGTTTTTTCTTCCCTATTGGCTTCATACACTGACTGATATTGCAATATTCCATGAATTCTCGGTCTATTCATGCGCAAATTCCCCTCTATTGCTGGTTTTTTTTGTTGTATTGTAATTTTTGCACATTCTGTTGATTCATTCTATTTCTCTTTCTCCTCCTCCAATTCCTTCAGTAATGTCGCCAAAATGGTGGAAAACTGATTGTACTACGGTTGGAGAGCTGCTATCGGTTTCTTTTTCACAAACACCCCCCCCTTCTCTCCGCCCCTCCCAGCCTTCTATTCCCCAACTAGAGATATCTATTGTTTTTGTTACGGTTGGATGGACGACATACATAAACCACACATACACATATACACAAATACATTCAGTTTCCTTTTTTTTCCTTTACCCAGTCTGTCTTTCTTTGTCCATCCATCCATCCAGACGACCGTGCTACATATAAATTGTTAAAGAATACGATTGGTGTATCAAAGTTGTGCATCCTGATTAAATGAACATGATGTTGCTGATAATTGGATGTTTTCTGGTGTTTTACAAGCATCGGTGCAGATGTAGCACAGTACGCAGTTCAAAACAGTCTTGTTCGTCGCGGACGCGGGGGCGTGCCCGAGGCGGGCTTTGGCGCGGTGCCAGCAAATTTCCCACCAATTGGAGTCGCTTGCCGGCTTCTGCAATTGGTGGAGAATGGGCTGGCACCACACCAAGCCCCTAGCATGCACCAGCATCCGCAGCGAAAAAGGCTGCAAGTTATCTGCTAACAGATGAAGTGTCAATGACGTCACATACACGCCATATCAGGGAAGATGGCAAAGGGCAAAGACGGCGTTACCTCATTTGAACTTGCGTTTTTTTTGGGATATTTCCGCTTGAGACAACTGTGACCCTGCCTATTGCTGGACCAAGAGAATTGTTCCAGAGCGGCAATATCCCGCCAAAAACTCAGCTAGCACCGCGTTCAAATGAAGTACGCAGCCACGCCCTTCCCATGTCCGGGATATGGAGTGTAACGCATCAAAGATGTGTCTTGAGACGTCAGTGACAGCGACGCAATGCAGGATTTCTTGCTGATTACCTGGTCTCTGTATGAGGTGACATTTGGTGTAAATAAACAAACTGCGGATCTGTGCTACATCTGCACCTCTGTATCTTATGAGGAGAACACCTCTAGGTGTACTGACACTGTGTGAAGATAAGATGGGCGGGGGACAAGAACTGCCATGTCGTACTCATTAGTGTGCCCTCCTAGGATTATAAAGAGGAGGGGCACCCTGATGAGATGGTGGTCCTCTGTTCCCACCCATGAAATCATCGTGGAATGCGCCTTCTCAAAAAAGCTCAGCTAAACAAACAATTTTAAATGTCAGGCATTCAGGCAGGTATACGCTCTTACAATGATGGGCGGGGATCTCTGCCTTAGATCCTGCCCAGCCCCATAACCTGCTTAGATCACTCCACATCCTGCCTCGCTGCAAGAAGTTAGCTGGAAGTTCTTCCTTCAGCAGAAAATTAGCTACGAAATTTTCTTACCAAAGGAGGGTATGAGACGAGGCGGGCAGGATCACGATCCAAATTTCTGCCTAGTTTTCGCCTTCAAACAGCTATGGCTAACGATTGAAGGCACGAGACACGATGGATAGGGATGGGCGGTTACTGCCAACGTCGTTGCTGGAAGAGCTGAGTGGGATGCGGGGCAAACGCCTACTTACAGCCTTTACACCAATGACATTGGCAGTAACCGCCCGCCCCTAGCCATCGTGCCCACTGCCGTTAAGTTACTTCTGTTCTCGGAGAAGCGGTAAAAGAATACGCCCGTAAAGGGACCTGTTCGTGGTGCTGATTTATCACTTTTTTCCTTTTAAGAACTCTACGACTGGCATGGCTTATGAGTGAGCCATGAATGGAATTTTTGGCTTTCAGAGGGTCAGTATGCAGATTTCTTGAGTAACCAGCCTCTGTTTAGAGATCAACCCTGGCGAGTCGGGCTGTACTCAGAACCGACAGTGTGAGGCTGTATGGCCAGGTGCATACTGTCGATCTGGAGAGTGTCGTTGTGCGAACAATCAGCCACCATTCAGGACCAGAGATGGCTTGGTAAGCGCTCAACGATAAAAAAATCTGCCAAGAATATCAATGTGAAGGTTTAGGTCTGCTTAAATTACGGCTTTTGCCCGCTGAATGGTAACAATCCGAAGTTCCGTATTGAAAATCAAGTTCAGCAATGTTATGGAGGTTAGCTGCGTTCGGGGGTGGTGTTGCATCGGTTCGAACCGGGGCGATTTGGTCTGTCCGTGAGTTGAATGTTTGCAGGAGCTGACGCGACGTGCGAGGCTATTGGAGCTCTCGCCTATGATTGTGTTTGTGACTCGGATGGATCGTACCGTGAACAATCCGATCCAGTTTCTGTAGTCAAGCAGGGTTTTCCATTAAAACTACGTAGGATGCGACTTACTGTTAGTATCGTACCTAATATAAATCGCTAGTTATGTCTGTTGGTGCTGTAGTGTGTGTGTTGTGTGTGCGAATGTATGTGTGTCTGTATGTGTGTTTGACCGGAAATTCATAACTTCCTTCAAAACAGCGATTGTGCGCTCAAACTGATAAGTGATGTAGGGTGGTTCTTGCAACACATTATTGGGTCGTGCAGGGGTGATAACAGGTTGATAAGATAGCCATAAAGGAGCCTTAGGATAGTAAGGATCACGAATTCACCAAACGCGGCTCACAGCAGCGCGTTAGAGGTTGGTTCCAAGAAGTAGATAGAGGACGGATGGGAAATTAAATCGGCCCGGTGGCAGGAAGTTGATAAAAGACAGATAGATACATAAGAGTTAGAAAAGGAAGTTCCAGCCCAACATTATAACGCGCGTCACAGCAGCGACAGAACGCTTAGGTTTGAAAAGTAACGGTAGAGGGGGCAGGATGAGGGGACATTCTTTGTGTCGAGTTTGAGGAAAGTAGATAACAGCTGATAAGATACCAATAAGGAAGTCTTTAGAAGGCAGGGGTGTCCACCCTAACACATATGCCGCGCTCACAGCGCGGTATTAGAACGTTGTTTAAGCAAGAATATATGGGGCAGGATGAAACACTATTGGATGAAGTAGCAGATTTGTAACCAGCGATAAAGTGAAATTAGGGGGCCCGCTTCAGGAAGGCCTCAAAATTCAATGCAAGAGTCGGACCAACAACGGGGAGCTGCATCTTTGCTATGCCTGCGACTGAACTTGACCACCGTGGTCCAAGAATTAATGGGCTAAACCTTAGTGAGCAGCAGATGTTCCTATCCCTTAGGATGTAGTCGGGTTGATCCGACGTAAACTCTCGGTACACCAGAAGCAAAAGCCTAAAATTGTTTGCCAGTGAGGAATGATAAGAGTCGCCAATAGACCGATATGTGAAAGCTGCTCACGGAAGGATTAGGATGTTCAAGACCTTCACTATGATTTCGATATTGTTACCATTGAAACTCTTCCAACCGCTAAGTTGCCTCATTTCCAACGAATGGTGAGTGTTGTGATAAGCACCATACTTTGGCAAATGCTCATTAAAGAGAAGAATTATGATGAAATGGGCCGTGTTTTGAAGCATGGGAAAAAAAGGCGAAGTTTTAGGGGCCGCCACAGAAATTCTGCCATTGTTCAGTGCCATAGGTTTAACAATTCGCGCAGTAATGCGCGTCAGCCACTGAGCTATCTAAGTACTGAATATCAGGGTAACATTCAGTAGGCTCTGAAGCGTCAATACAATATTGTAGCTCTGAAAGCGAACTATTCAGAGCTTTTCGGTCTGGTGGGGACATTTTCTGGTTTCTATCGTTTACTGCCGGGCTTCCTGTGGAGACCTGTGAATTCCTGCAATGCTAATCCTCAGCATGAGCTTCGCTCTACGCATGCCCTGCCGTTGAAGGAAGTTTTGCAAAATACGCCCATTCCCTCAAATTTCCTCTAGTACAACCTCCCTCCCTCCACCAATCTACCCACTAATTTCCTTGATTCTCCCAACTTCCTTCTACTTTTTTCAGAGTTTTTTTTTCCAGAAACTTTCCAGTTTTTCCCAACAAACCTCTGTCGAGTGGGCGTGGGTGAGGCTATATAGCGTAGCAACGTCATACGGGAAAAATTGAGAAAAGTAAACAATCGGGAACTTTTTTCACAAAGGCAAATGCGACCCTTCCCTCCAGCGACCAAATACGACCCCTTTTTCGCTGTAGATTTGCAACCTAGGGACGTAAGGCGAGCAGTGGTTTCGCTTACGCTTGATGAGTCTACAGGTCTCGCCAAGCTGAGATTTAGGAAAAGAAGCTGGTGAAAGTGCAAAACGCTTTCTCCTCCTCACTCCCTCCCCGCACTCCCTCAAGCCGAACAGCGCTTCGTTTCCAAAGATGGTGGCGTAAAGGGTGAAGATTGCGCCTTTGTCCTGTTGAGTTTAAATTTTCCATTTTTCAAGCAAATCTCATATTCGTTACCTTATAAAGGCTTAGGGAGGGACGCAAGGGACTCAAATACGCAGAAAGGAAACTGTGCTCTGCTCTGATATGTCCACATGAAATTCTTAAAGTTTTTATTTTGTGCTGACGCTTCTTGTTTATAAATAAGTAAAGAGGGTAGTTGTTATGTGAACAAAGAAACAATAAAATAAAGAAACAAGGTGGGCATGTACTGATGTTAGCGAGTGGGGGTTCATACACCTTGGGATCAAAGACGCGGTGCACGCTGATCATGAGGGCGGAGACGGTGAATCACCATGCCTTTTTCATTGGTGGGCTCCTTCTTTCAAAGACGTAGAGAGAAGGGGAGCGCCAATGAGGAAAACCCAATGGTTGATTGTCTCCGCCCACGAGGTCAGTATTGACTGTCTCTTGATCATTTCCTTTTGGCTGTTACTGAACCCGTGCTTCATCTTGTTAAGGCCCATCTTTTGCTGTTTTCTGCAAAAGGATGGTCTTTTTCCTA